TCTGGACGGCCCGCGGGCGGGCCGCGCCACCCCGCGGGGCTGGGGTCCCGCCGGGTGGGCGCACGGAGGAGGCGCCCCGGGTCCGGGCCGGCAGCGGCCGCGCTCTCCAGCCGCCCCGCAGCGCGGGGGGCACGGCGGGGCCGGGCGCTCCCTTTGCTCTCCTGCTCCCCGGCGTGGACACGCCGGTCGGGACTCCGTGCAGGGTCAGTGCTCATCCCGGCTGCTCCGGAGCGGGTCCCGCTCTGAGTGCTCCCAGGGGAGCGGCGGAGCCCGGCGGGGAGGGGACGCGGGGCTGGCATGGGCTGTTCCTCCTTCTCGGTCGCCCCGGCTCGTCCCGCCGCGGGAGGGGGTCCCCCCGGCTCCCCCGGCCGCGCACCGGCAGCACTCGGACAAAGGCTTTCCTTGCTGTGGTGGAAGTTGAGCGCGGTGTCCCCGCGGTGCCCCGGCGCCCCTCGCACACGGGCCGGGCCCGGCGCTGTCACCCCGCGGCCGAGCGCTCCCGGTCGCGCCGAGCGCGGGCGGGCTCTGCCCCTGCTAGCAGGACACCCCTTCTCTCGGGCTGGGAGACTGAGGTTCTCTGCATACCATTCCTGGGGCTTTGTTGAGTTTTAGCTGCTTTCCTCCAAGTACTGCGGTACAGGGAAGAGTGGCAGCGTCCCTACCCCACTAAGCTACGCTGGGTCATAATGAATGGTAGTCGCCGTCCCTTTCAGCCACAGTGGGTAATACTTAATCATGGCTGGCCAGCTGCAGGATGTGTCACTGTAATAAGTGACACCCTTTTAGCCACCTACAGCTGATGAATAATAACAGATCCAGTGCTGGTATACAGTGTGCAATCACACATACAGTGTTGCATTGCATGTTGCCGTCGTCACCACATCTTGATTGCTGCTGCTTGTTGTAAGTGCCGTGTCCTTAATTTTGGACTACACTGAGCACATGTGACCTCCCTCTATGTGTTGAGGGAAAGGACAGTCAGGAGAACTACAAGCTGTTTCTATACTCAACCTGTTTGTTCCAAATGAAATTCTGACTGGTTAAAGTACTGCTGTGTCTTTCTGAAACGTGGACCTTATTTTAAGATTTCACAGTGTGTCTGTGACCTTCTGTCTTCCCTGTGGGATTACATTGTCTGCAGCATTGGCTCTGTGGTTAGAGAGCAACAGCCTGCTTGGGGGTGGGGTGGAGTTGGTGGTTGATGCTTTTGTTCTCATGTAGAAGGTAGCATTATGGTATTTTGTTGTTTTGTTTGGCTGCAGTAGTGTTTCCAATTCCTCACTCTTGTTTGTCGAAAAATAAATTGCAGATTTCGCTATATTTCTCTCCTCATGGAGGCATCTTGCTGCTCATATATGTTTTCCCAATTAAATGTTCCTTAGGGAAGCTAGCCTTGTTTGCTATGATTCCTGGCATGTACTATTTTAGAGGTTAGAACTGAAAAAAGGGAACAAATGGTGTTAAAGTTTGCTATAACTATTACCCTGCGCTCCAGTTAGCAGTTAAGTTTTTCCACGTTTCTGTTAGTTTACTCATCTGAATATTTGGGCTCCATTTCCTTTTGTTTATTGATTACTACAGGTTTGTCAGAAGCGTTGTCATGTTTGTGACATTACTTTTATCCTTCTCAGACATCTGTTAGAATGTTGACAAAAACAACTGTAGATTATTTATTTTTTAAAAAACATCAATGATCGAATAATTGGAGCCATAGAAAAAATAACATTTTAACAGGAATGAAAAAATTGTGTGCAGGTTAGGATTTTAATGCTAAATTTATTGTTCAAAACCTGTAATTTGAATAATTCTCTGGAAAAGTAGTCTTGTTTTCTTATTATTAAATGCTTTAGCATTGGTAAAATGAAATTTGTTAACTTTGGTTAATGTTATATTTAGATTGCATTCAGAAGCTTATGGTTTTTTTAATTATATGATCTGTTTTTATCGTACATCTCTGTTGCTGAGTTTTCTATGTGTATTAGGATTAAAAATTGATGGTACTCCAGTAGCTGATTTTTTTTTTTCCAAAATAGTCAGTACAAGCAGTTTTCTTTCTGGGCTGTTCTTTACTTACACAGGGGGGAAAAAAAGTGCTTGAAATTAAAAAGCAGTTAAGTGAAGAATGTAGTGTGCAAATCCTGCATTGTGATTGAAAGGGCAGCTTGCAGTTCCTAGGGGTGCTCAAACCTGAGGTAAAGCTTATGTGGCTCTCCTGCAGTCACTGTTAGCTGGATGTAAAAACTTTTTTTCCTGTGAAAACTGTATGACTGAGCTTAAGTTACGGTACATAGGTTTATGCTGTGTTGAAATGGAAGTAGTTTTGGGGGGCAGTCAGGGTATGTTACCACTTTGTTGTTTGCACACTCGTGCTGTTGCATCTCAAGTGTTTTGATCAAATTTACTTGTATGTACAATGTGACTGAACCTAAATTTCTCAGTGTCAGAACCAGATATAATGAGAAAGTACACGGAAACGTGAGGTATGTAACTGAAAATGAGTTACAATTTGAACTATTATTAAAAGAAGTGGTAATTTATGACTGGAATTATAGGATAGTGTTTTGGGGTTTTGTGGAGTGTTTTTGGTTTTGCTTGTGAACAATTTAGGGAAACGTAATTTTAAGATGACAAAATCAATGAAAATCTTATATAATTAGAGAAGCACATTTTGAGTGCAAAACACTTGATTTTAAATAATTACTGGTACTACAAATGTACCTATAGGTGTCAGTTTGAAAATTGCTGTGCTAGGTCTGACACAGCCATATGACAGAAAAACTCCAATGCCATGAACTTAATTTTATGTAATTTTAAAATTACATAACGTGTGGAATGGTGTCTTTTCAGTTGCCTGGGACAACCAGATCTTTAAAATACTAGAAACCGTTGCAAAAAAACCCAAAACAGAACAACCCCCCCCCTAAAACCAACAAAACAACAAAAAAACCAAGCCCTTGCAAAGATGCCTATACCAGCAGCAAGTGCACAAAATTTAGAAAGGATAGGTTAAAATGGAAAATATAGGCATTGGCTGGAGTACTCAATTACCAGTGGAAACCTCTGTAATAGGAGTATAATTTGGGTTATTTTTCAAACAGGTTGACAAGCCTTGAAAAAGACAAAAATAACTTGAGTGGGCTTATCACTGGTATGATGTTTTCCATAGCCACTGTAAAGTAGAAATTGTTTTAATACACTTTTATAAGTAACAGGCTATTCAAGTTCCGTGCCTGAGTTAGTCATCCCGGAATTGAGTGGTTAAGAGGGGTTTCCTGACCCAGAATGCTTTATGATTTAAGGGCAAGGGAAGGCACATCAAATCTGTGATGACACAGGAGAATATTTGGCATCAGTGCAGTGAATTTTGGTGTGCTGGTGTAGATGTCCCAGTCATCTGGTAGTTTTGTTTGTTTTTAATGGAACGATGAAAAAACTTGTAGGAGGTTTTTTGAGAGAAGATGCTGCTTTGTGGAGCTCTTCCAGCCACAAGGCCAAGTAAAGAGAAGTTCAGAGATGAAAATATAACAGTTCATAGAAACTTTAACCTCATCTGCATCCTGATTAGTAATTTTAGGATGAAGACATTGACCAGTGAGGGTCTTGAAGTAGAGAGTGAAGGGAGAACTTGTGTGATCTGACCTTGGGCTAGAAAAAGCTATTGAGAGAACAATGTTCATGAGGGTCAGTGCTGGATTTTGAAAGATGAAGGATGCTTCACTAGTTCAGATGTGAACTGCTGCGGTCACTGGATAAAACTTAAGATACTAAAGGGCTATCTTGATAATGTGATGGGCATCACCAGGATCTCAACACCAGGTTATTTCTAGGACCTATAGAGAACCATGGTTTGAATGCTAACACTTGGTTAAGATTCCTGAAAGCTCATGAGTTGCATTAGTGGAAAGGAGACTGAAGCAATGATAAAAGGGATAAGACCTATGTGTTGTCTGTGCTGAGGCTGAGCTGATAGTGAGGTGTCAGTATGGGGAAAGAGAGATGCAAGCTGGGAAGTTGATTTGGACAAGCACAGGAGACAGGGAGTAGAAAGGATGTTTCTGATTACTGGCAGGGAGTTCATAGTTGAATTTGAATCCTGGCCTTGGATAGAGTGAAGAAGAATGGAAAGGGATGCACAACAGAAACCTATTAAATGATTCATAAAATAGTACAGGTGAATGAGGAGGTTGCTTCAGGAGGATATACTGAAAGAACAATTAGAATGATAAGGGATGAATCATGAGAGCAACAGTGCCAAGGAAGTCAGGGAGAGTATTTCCGGAAAAGAAGCATTGCTGGTAGTCTTGGGAGATTGACATGTCTAGGAAGACAAGAATTACATGTTGATTCTGAGCCTCATCATAGGGTTAGGCTGCAAGAGATGTCAGTGAGAATGGTTTAAATGAAGCTTGAGTGGAAACAGGATGATGTAGACTGT